GCCAGCACGGTTGCACTGCACCGACACGACGCCGCTCGTGATCGTCAGCCCGGAGACAAGCGTCGCGCCAGTGGCAGCGCAGCGCGCAATCGACACGGCGCCGCCGCTGAGCGTCACCCCCGACAGCGACGCCACCGACAACGCCTCGCCCACCGCCCACACGTCGTGCATGTCCAGCCACCCGCCGCCACCGACCGTCCCACCGTCGCAGCGCACCAGCGACGACGCAACAGACCCCTCAACGCCAACGAAGCGCAACACCGAATCAAGCACCGCGAGGCGCTCTCCGAGCACAATGCCGCCGCCGCTGCTCACAACCGACACGTTTGTCACAGAGAGCACCGAGTGGCTCCGCAAACTAACACGCGACGAGGACGCCACATGCATCGCGGACGCGGTCGGACCGCCCGACGTCACCAGCGACACGCCGTCAAGCACCACCGCGCTCGACAGCAGGTCCACGCCGCCGCCAACGTACACCGCCGACCCGCCCACGTGCGACGACCTCAGCACAGTGTTGCTCACACGCAGCTGCGACTGCAACAGCGACGTCGCGTACAGCACAAGCGGCGATGCCACCGCGTCCGTCAGCCCGCTCAGCTGCGAGTAGTGCATCGGCCCCGGCGTCACAATCGTCGAGTCGCGGACCGTCACGTTCGTGTGTGCCGGCAGGTTGTGCACAAACACGAGCGAGCAGTAGCCGCCGGACAGCCCGCTCACGCTCACCTCCAGGCTCCGGTCACTCGCCGGCTCGCCGCTGTAGCCCCGCACGTAGAGCTGCGCACCGCCGTCGCACACGCAGTTCCTCAATTCGATGCGCAGCGCACCGGGGAGCATCGCCGCCACGTCGAACACCACAGCCACGCCGTTCGTGATGGACACGCCGTCCATCAGCGCCGTGTCCACGGCACGGCCAACCGTGATGGCTCTGTCCACCGTGCCGCCCCGCAGTCGCAACACCACCGCATGCACCGCGGGCATCCACGCCGCAGCAGCAACCAGCGCCAACACCAAAAGAAGCGCCGCACGCACAGCTGAAATGGCCCTGCTCTGCACACGGTGCCGGCTGCGCGGACACGCACCCACCGCAGACCGCATCCACCGACCCAGACACGTATCAGCAGGTCTCTCGTGGTGTGTCGCACTCGCCCCGTCAACCATTCCTCCTGTCTATCAAATCCCTTTCTACAGATGGCAAATCCAGATACACGATTCCGATAGGTCGTTATCCCACTAATTATAAACCTAATACTGCGAGTAATCCCTAACACCTTGAAACGATAGTTGTGCTGGTAAAGCAAAAGTATCTCTAACTGCACGGTCAGAAAAGGAACAAAAGGAAGCAACCACAGTAACCAAACACAGTGGCACGCAGAGGCATCCGGCCACACACAATCCCAAACACAGTACAAACCCCAACAGGAAACCGCGCAGACGCAATCAATTCAGTAGCACCATCACCCTCGCACCGCCCGCGCAGCCCCACACAGCCGCCGTCCCAAGTAAAAGGGTCCCGGCAAAAACAAACATGACCACTGGCGCTGCTGGTGTGACCAATGAGTCGGCACTGCACAAGAAACAGCGAACTCATGCGCGCACGGCATACACAAGAACGAAATGAAGAATGAAGGAGCACGGCGGCAGTACGCAGACACGGGGAAAAAGGATCCACATCAACTGCACAGTCCGATTCGCTCGCAGCCGTACGGATGGTGGTCGCGCCGCCGCCGCACTTTGCGTGTGTGTGTCTGCCGTGGACTGAGAGGATGATGAGACGAAAAAGAGATGCGGTGCGGTCCTCATCCATCTCGGTTAACTGTGACACCAGTCACGCCATCCCGTCAGATTACCTGCAGCCAAGACCGTCACCGTCAGCAGCGGTCGGTGCCTTCTCTCTCCACCGGGCGCCGTCACGCGCCTCCTCCCTCACCAACACAACGGGGGAGCAGCAGCCACACGCAACTGCCAGCACCGAGTACAAAAGAAGAATCCACCTGCACTGCAATGTGTGTGTCCTGCGCGTGTGGTTGTGTGTGCCCACTGTCACGCGAAAAAAAAGAAAAAAGACAGAAAAAAGAAACAAAGCATCTGAAGAGACGCACAAACACAAATGCACAGCAGAGGCGCATGTCCAAAGAAAGAAGAATGGAAGGGCCGCTCAAACTCAGGATTGCACTGCAGCCCGATCAGCGGCAAACCACAGAAGATTTATTCAAAACAAAAGAAAACTTTCCCTAGCCACCCCCTTCTTATATAAACCCCGTCATAAAAAAAAAAAAAAAAAAAGAACTTCCTCTATTACTGTTCCACACAAATTTAAAAATAATAAAAAATGAAAAAAGCAATAATAATAATAATAAATTCGCCTGGCTGCCGTGTGGCCACACCGAACCGTCTGCATATATTTTGCCCGGAAAATAAAATTAAATAGTTGCATGTCTTTCAACCGTCCGACCTCCATGTGTCCGCACATCGTTTATATTTCACGGGGTCATCTGCGTGTTGCTGCTCCCCTCAGCCCTTTCATCGGCGTGCGAGTGCGGCCCGCAGAGCACAGTCACTCGTGTGTGTGTGGGAACTGAGAGAAGCACGCAGACATGACGGGAGTCGCGTCTCCCCATCGGGAGAGTAAGCGCAGCAAAAAAAAAAACATGAGAAGGGGAGAGAAATGCTGACGGGACTGCCAGCGCGTGAAATGCACACAAAAAGCAAAAAAAATCCCTAAAAACCGGCAGGGTGTGGCTGTGTGTGTGTGGCGCTGCGGGTGTCTGCCAGCCCTGGCAATAAAAACAACAAAACAAGAGGGAAGGAAATGTGTGCTCCGCCCCACAGGCCCTCGTCGCACACCCACACGTCACGGCTCCCTCAGCGCGCCGTTCGTCGCGGCCCCTCCTCATGCGTGCAGCAGGCGAGGCGCACAGGGCCGTCGTCATGAGCGTGTCGGTGGGTGTGCGAGTGGAGCAGTTGGGCGGGAAACACACGGCACCCCTCGCAGGAATAGTGCAGCATGAAACAATAAACAAAAGCAAAAAAAAAAATCCATAGTGATTGCCCCAAGGCAACAAGCAAGATAAGAAAACAATTTAAGAAAAGAAAAGAAATTGTTCTCTGCGTAGTAAAATTTATTCCTAGCGGTGTGTGTTTGTGTGTTGGTGAAGGGGAGGGCGCAAGTGTCCCACGCGGCAGCCAATCACTCCTCAAAGAGCCACAATGCCCCACAGCCCCAGCAGAAGAAGCAGCAACAACACCCGAGACACACACACATGCACGGTGCTGTCACGGTTTAGACCCATGGACAGCAGCTCCGCAATTTCCCCGGTGAAGGTGTCGTTGTCCGAGTGTCGTGCCGCGCCTTTTGTTGAGGGGGTCCCTTCGCCTCCAGGCGTGGTGTTTGTATTCTCCGGTTTGGTGTCGACCGTCTGTGGCACCTCCTTGCCGTCCTCAAAATAAAATTCGCTTCCTTCAGTCCGAGAGACGTCGTCGGTGTCCTCCGCGGATGTCGGTTCGGCGTCAGTCCTTGAAGGAGTGAGGCTGCTGTCTGAGCCCATTGTTCTCTCGGAATTTCCGTCCCCCGCCTCGAGGCTGAGGCTTTGCTCCGCGCCGGTGGTTCCGGTTCCAGTGGACCGCACGTCGTCGCTTTCAGTGGCAGGCTCAGTGCTTTGTTGCACTTGGTGCCCACTGTCAACTGTTTCGGTGGCCGTATCCATATCCGATGATGCACCCACTGAAGACGTTGATCCGCCACTCCTGTCATCCGCTTCTTCCTCCTCCTCTGGCATTTCTTCATCATAACTTCCAGAGGACATTTCAACATCGGTAACCTCCGTTAATTCCGCTGGCTGTGGGTCTTGTGGCTGCAAGTCTGAACCCCGTTGCATCGATTTATTCTCTTCACTCAGCGTGGCTTGCTGGGCCGTTTTGCCCTGGTGAAACTGGGCATTGTCATCTGGACGATCATTCCCTGCGCTCTCCGCTGCGATGGCAGGTTCAGGAACAGATGATCCCGCGACAACCGGGGAAGGAAGCGCTGCAGGCACCGGATCATCGACGCCGTTTCTTCCTCGTTGTTTTTCAGGATCATCCTCATTCAATTTCGCATAGCTGGTGGTGATTTCTTCACTCTTTGACTCGAAAGCAACCGAAACGTCTGTGCTGGTCACCTGTCCTGTGGGTTGTTTCTCAGCGCCAAGTGATGGAACAGTGACTTTGCTGGCTTTGAGTTTATGCAGCTCATTATTATACAGATCGTCGTTGTACAGCATGACGTTGGTCACCGTCACATGGCCGCCCGTTGCACTTTGGTCATTACTGTCCCCACCGATGTAGAAGTGTGAGATCCTGTGCAAGTCGAACAGATGCTTATTATAGCGCTTGCGGTCAATTTCCCTCTGATCCACAAAGACAGTCCATTCATCAAGAGTCATTCGCAGTACCACCTGATACGTTGTGTGTGGCTCCCACCCAAAAAGATCCTCCACATTACCAGAATTCTCAGATATGGCCAGCCACTTCCTGTCATGGGTGTACGACAGACCAAAAAGCACCGTGCTGCTGGTGTCATTCATCCTCACGCCAATCAAAGGAATGGGCCTGCTGTCTTCCTTCGGCACCTCATGGATGGAGACCGTCGCCACAAGAGTGAACTTGTTGTTCGCAAAGTAGTACGGCACAGTCTGCCCCATGTCGCCAACAGGCCACTCCGCCCATGATCCGGGTCCTTTGAACGTCAATCCATTGGGAACTTCTCTCCTTTTTTCCGTTTGGCCATGGACTGTTGCATTCACGCCGAGGTACTCGTCTCGCCACTCGGTCCCAGTTGAGTTACCGGACAAGAAGCCAACAAGCCTCTCAGTGGGAACAGGACCATTGCACATGCCCTTTGTTGCCACCGAGTCAACAGTGCCGCTGGAACTGGAACTGCAGTATTGCAAGGCGCTGTCCAAATCCTTCCATGTCTTCACCACTTCCTTTATCCGCTCCAGTTTCCCGGTCAGGCGCACAGCAACAAGATTGTATGATCCGTCGCTCTTCTTTTTCTCGTACACTGAGATCAACTCCTTATTATTATCTTTCATCAACAGCGAGCTGGCGGCGGCGTCATCATTTTCACGGGATACCGGCCCAACATCATACACACGTGCCTTGTCCGTCACCCAAAGATGGAGCCGACCCTTTCCACCTTTATTTTCCTCCTTCGGATACACCGGCGCGGTGATGAGCATCACCTTCTTTTCCTCAATGATTGCGGTGGTGAATCCACTCTGGACGCCGTCCCCTGTTCGGTTGTGTGAGTTGCCCCACACGCGGGTAATTGGCTCACCCGACGTATACCAATTGCCTCCATCCTGAGTGGACCTGTAAACGTCATAGTAGCCTCCAGCACAATGAGCCATCATGAAGAGCCTTTCGTCGTCCTCGTCTTCTTCCCACCTCACCAGG